CTTGCGTCAATGTCCCATTTTTGATGGATTTAGGACTGAAGATATTTTCAATGTCAGCAGAAAGGTATGGATCTCTCTTCTTGAAAATTTCGTCGATTTTTGGCTGCTTATGATCGTTTTTTCTCTGCTGTCTTTTATTTTCCAGCCAATCCGGAAAAGGAATACGAGGAACCGGATTTGGCACATTTTGCAGAGCGGCTGGGATCGTGATGATTTTCTGTACTGTAGCTCCAAAACGCTCAATGTAATAGTCCCAATCGATGATCTGCAAAAAAAAAGTTAATTTTGCTAGCAAACTGGTAAATTTTAAGGTGGCGATCGAAATTAGGAAAAAGTTTAATAGTCCTAAGCAAAAAATGTTATCAGTGAAAAATTAGGCGAAATAAAACTTCAACAGTCTTCAAAAATTTCAATCCGAATCATCAACAACGGAATTTTTAACAAATACGGCATTTTTATTTTTGCGTTTTTTGCACCATGTAAATGCGAAAACGTGTACTGAGACAAAAACAAGTCAGGAAATTAATGCGCCGAAAGCGGCGATATTAGGAAATGTCCACATATCCGTGGCTAAAGGCAAGACGGTGTTAACCTGGAAGAAGTTGACAGTTACATCTGCCAGGAAGTAAATATGCGACACAAACTCCAGCCGGAACCCATGCGTCGAGAGAAGCTTGCCGACCTATCTAACTATCACGGCAACGCTAAATTCCTCAACATCGAAGCAAAAAAAGCGTGCCTACACTTTTTAAGTTTTGTAAGTACCACTGTGCCTGTCGCGATGAAGTACGAATGGGAAACGCGATCAATAGCAAAAGAAGAATAGTGTATGTTGGCCTCGATGAAGGGAAGACCAGGACGAAAATGCTTGAAGTGTCTCTTCGTAAACGCACAATTCAAATATTTTACCATGCGAATGATGCAAAGTAAGTCTCTGCGATCATGCGGGAAAGATAATCCAGTTGGGCTAGAGGATTCCCCTAAAGCATGCCTGCTCGCATCAATCTCCTAATACTTTTTTCTTCTCTTTCCTCCCTTTTTTTCCCCCTCCCCCCCC